CAGTGATCAGATATGGAGTTGTCTTCATACATTTCTCAGAAATTTTTATTCTGGAGTCTCACCTAGCCAGATGTGTCATAGCCTCTTGGATATTATGGCCACTTTTAGCACTGCATTCAAAGAACTCAGTCTGGTACTCCTGACACACAAACACAACCATGTTAACAGACGAAAAGAGAACCTTAAAAATAATAGTTAAACAAAACTGAAAAGTCCTGAAGCGTTGATTACCTCAGCCAGATTCTGTCCCTGCATGGTGGTCACCTGTCTCCCTCCACCATCCTCCATATCCATCTTGTTGCCTAGCAGCATCACACATGCACCATCAGCCTTGTTTTTCTGCCAGAAGGATGAATTCACATTAGAATAACCAATCGTAAGACAAACAAGCTTGTGCTTGTGTTAATATGGCCAAATCTCTGGGCTTGTCCCATTTCACCACACCTTACTACTTCACCTGTGGGAATGCAAACCTCTTCAGAATGGCTCATTTGCATCACAAATTGGCCTCACCTGCACTTGGTCAAGCCAATCACGCACTGCCATGAACGAGGTGGTCTGAGTGACATCATACATAACCAGGATCCCATCTGCTTTACGGTAATACTGTGTTGTGATGCTGTGGAATCTGCGACAGAGGAAGCATTTTGACCAAAATATGACCAAATAATGGTCATTTATTATTAAATTTCTTTTCATTTGCACATTGAATTTTGAAAAAAAGATTGATTTAGGTGGATAGCAAAGTTTCTTCAACCATTTTATTACTTATATATTAATATATTACTATTACAATATTATATAATTAATCATATTTATATTAGAATGAAATGAAAGTGTTAAATACTGTATAACTGATCTCTCGCACTAACACCTGCCATCAGGGTGGTGTCCAATTATGTGAGGGTTTTTTTGTATGGCTATAAATATTGTTTCCAGTAATTGAACATATATGACATATTGAGTAATATTAATAAATTTTACAATTGCTTTGCTACTAAATTAAAAAAAATAAACATTTTACATTGACTGCTAAATAGTAATTTTTTTTCTTACCTCTCCTGTCCTGCTGTGTCCCAAAGCTGAAGAGCAATTTGGGTGGAGTTGAGCACGAGACTTCTCACCTGGAAGTCCATACCTGTCAAGCAAATGCAAATGATATTTGGTGTTGGGAGAAGCTTTCAAATGCTGCGGATCTAAACCCGATTTTATGCGTAAGTACATTAGCAGAGGCTAGATCTCGCTTACCTACAGTAGTGCTCATTTTATTAGGGAAGTGCCCTCTGCAGTAGTGATGGATGAATGAGCTCTTACCCACTCCTGAATTGCCTATAAACACAACCTTAAACACACGCTGTGGGCCGCTTACTCCAGCCTGAGAGACACAGGAACAGAGTTATTTAAAAAAAAAACAAAAAAAAAAAACAGTAAAAGCCAGATCAGGCTGACTGATTAAAGAAAAACACACCAAAAATATAACCAAAATCAGGACCTGCTGCATCGCCACACAGAGGGTTCTACCATGCAAATTTCTCAAGTCCTATATTTGCATCATACACATCGACCTAGCAAGCTTACAGTCCATTCTTCATACATTCTATCCTTGGTGGAGAAGAGCATCATGATCATCCCCTTATAAAAGAAAGCAAGATTGCTCAAAAATACCAAAACAATCTTTACAATACCGTTTTGCTGTATGTATCCTCTTTATGGTTTTTCTCTGAGAGCGTTAGCTCTGCTTCAGCAATCACATCAGGTGAGCTCTTCTTCATCTGACCAACAAAACTGACCTGTCTTAAGTATTGATAATAAAAAAAAACTAATTCAATGAAACAGATCTCCAGGTTTATATATTATGACAATTTTAACCCGTTAACCTTCTATAACACATCAGCATGCTTAGATTCTCTCTTTCATGATTGGGATATGTTATTTCCTACTAGTTTCACTATAGTAATTATCATTAATATGTTTAAAGTTGAATAATAAATGGTAAGTACATACTTTAAGCAGTTAAAGGTTTAGTTATTAAATTATAATTGTACACTGTTGCAGTTGTTAGAAGCTAAATGATGCTCTAGTCTTACAGAAAGATGTGTGCTTCACTGCTGCATAAATAACCAGAAATGAGGCTGAAAAGAGGCTCACTTGATCCTGCCTTAAATTTTTTTCTGGACAAAAATTTTTGCAAAACATTTTTGGTTCACTGATGCCGGATATTGCTAAATGAATGCATTTAAAGCTGTTATTAAAGCCAAGATTCATTATTTTGATGAATCAAATGTTTCATCCATAGCTAATAATGTTCTTATTTTAAACACTATGTGAAACGTTATGAAAAGTATTCAGTTAAATACTGTCACCTACCTAGTTGGCCTACTTCCCAGCAAGCGCATTCAAATGATTAATGTGCATTCCATATCTAAAATACTACTTAAAAAATTATTGATGTGAATTTTAGTGACCCACCTGTTGTCAGGTTTCTTGGCCAGCATATAGTCTCCTATTATTGATCCTTTCTTCTCTAAAGGTCTCTTCATCTTAGGTGTCTATGGAACAGTCCATGGAATATTTTGGCTTTAGAAGAAATTAAGAGCTGTATGTAATGCATGCACAAAAAAGGTGTACCAGAAATACCACATTTCTGATGACTTTAAATCCTCTTATTCTGTAAAGAACTTGTTTCTCTTGTATAAGTGGGGATTAAATGCTGGTTTCTGAAGTCACAGCCTTTGGTTTTATGTATAGAAGGTAAAGAAGTGTTTGCATGCGTTTATACATTTGGGTCTTGTGCAATAAGGACACAGATAGGATTGTGTACCATCAGTAATGTCTTTTATTGTGTACTGTGGTGGTGCTAAAAAAAACACACCCATTTGTTCATAGCCTGACTTACAAACTTTTCTCCATTTTGTTCATGATCTTGTGAAAAAAAAACAAAAAACAGAAAGGCACAGAAACTGGTCACAAATAAAGACTAAACATACATTAAATGCAATAAATTAATCAAACTTTACAAAAATATACCACATATTGGTACAGACATTAAATTCAGACAAAAAAGGATGTAGTGATAAATAGATTCGTCCTGTGATGTGGCAAGTTTCCTAGCATGCAGGCTTTCAACATTTTACTCAAAAATCATTTTCTGCACAGCATTTTAAAAATGGCCATTAAAGTAATAAAAGAATTTAAAAAAGTGATCTTTGGTTATTGCATATTTTCACGATTTAGAAAGATACATTCACAAAAAGCCCAAATCATTTTAAAATACTGAAATGTGCAGAAAATATGCCTTTTTGAGGAAATTGTCAGAATAGCCTTTTAGGGGTGGCACGTGCTAAAATTTGCTTCCATAAATAACAAGAAAGAAAAAAATCTGATTATAGAATTAACTTAGAAAAGCAGTAGTGCACAGCATTTGTCCTACAGTCCCTTGCATAAGTATTCATCCCCCCTCGAACTTTTCAACATTTGCATCGTCAAATGTTAGACGTTATGCGTATATCAAATGGTAAAAATCCCAAGTAGGTCCATTTCAATTCCAGGTTATGGAAACTACAAAATGTGGAAAAGTTCAAGGGGTGAATATTTATGCAAGGTCCTGTAACTACAGCAAAAGGTATGGACAGTAAGTCATTAGGTGTTATGATCTCCTGGGTTCAGTGGAGTTAAAGATGTGCTGAATTGCTACATGGCTCAGAGTAAAGATGTGCGTGCGCGAATGGTATAATTAAAAATATCCATAACAGACTTCATTATTTTATCTTACACAAATAAGAGCTGAATGTGAATCAGACAGCTGACATGCAATTCTGCACAGAACATATGTATTTAATAGAAGCAATAAAGTGTCTGTGAGACTCGCTAGATTTATAGCCATCATAAAGACGAGGCATTATAAATAAAACTACATCTGCTATAGATGAAATATACGCTCTGTCCTCGAGCACTCACGTGAGTGAACACCCACAAAAGTGCACAGTTTGTTGTAAGTTCTGCTGGCCTGCTGCTTATTTCTACCACTAAAATGAAATCTGTCTATATATACTTATGAAATGTCACTGCACTGATCTGCCACAGATCACATAATGAGTTGATTAGATATCGCAGAAGCAGAAGATCTAAGCTCACCTCTTGATAACATCTTCATTTGAACCCCCAACATTTTTGCAACTGCACTGCTCTATCTTCATCAGGTTCCCTCCTGCGCTGACTGTCACGAAAATACCAAGAGTATGGCTTTGTTCAAAATGATATAACTACGTACAGTATACCACACAGTACACAACAGTAATTTCCGGTTCACTAATTTGATTGGATAAGTGGCGTTCCAAGAGTGCTCATATTTAGTACAAAGGAACTGGTACATTTCAATGTTTTCTGTGTGCGTTAAATAAAACTTCCAATTTTAGGAAGTTTGTTAAACTGAAACTGTTACTACACTTACTACAGGCTCTCAGTCGATCTGTGCATTACCATGGCAACACGCAATGCTCTATCCAGCTGTGGCTTCTTTGGGAACTATTTTTGTTCATGCAGCAATAATAAACAGGCCATATTGTGTCTTCAGTGTCAGTTACTCGATATTTCTTTCTTATTTATAGACTGTAGTGTTGTACAGAAACAATATCTCACTCGCAATCATGCTGTTGTACTGAATATCAGCACGGCTGTGATTAACTACAGCATTTTTGCTCTTGCGATATTTCTGAAGCATGAAGTATACGGTAGAAATAGTACAGCAGTATAAACAGCCAGAATATTCTCAGTATGCTAAAGATTCCTGACTGACATACAGTACAACATGGGCCAAAGTTCCAATTACGCAGACAGACCTGTATCCATGGTGTAGTGCATCCCACAATGCAACATGATCAGTTCATTTCCAAAATAAGCTGGAAAACTGTGATACGAAAGCAACTATACACTACATGTATAGATCGATAGACTGATGTACTTTATTAATCTCTGAGGGGAAATTTAGGAAACGCAAACTGTCCTTCGAGCCAGATTTGAACCAGAGACCTAAGGGTTGCCATTTCAGCACCGACAGTCCTCCACTCTACAAACTGAACTCTCAAAGGCTTTTAAATGCTTACTGTTAGAAACTGGTCTAATGGTTTCCATTAACCATTATTTCCAATGATTTTAATGGTGAACAGAAACCTTTTGCCAATTCCTATTAGGAAATGTTTTTTCATCCAGTTTATATTTCCATCCATTCCGTACCTAATTAAACAAGTTAACAAGTAACGCTAAACTTCAAATATTAGCAACCAATAAATACACTATATGGTCAATTGTTTGTGAACACCTGACCATCATCATCATCCCATTCCAGATTTAGTCTTTCTTTGTGGTCATAAAAACCTCCACTCTTCTGGGAAGGCTTTCCAATAGATTTTGTAGCGTGGCTATGGGGATTTGTGTTGATTCAGCCACAAGAGCATTAGTGAGGTTGGGCACTGATGGTGTCTTCCACTCCAACCTTAACACACCATGTCTTCATGGAGCTCGCTTTGTGCACAGGTGCATTATCATGGTGGAACAGGTTTGGGCCTCTTAGTTCCAGTGAAGGGAAATTGTAATGCTACAGCACACAAAGACATTGTATACAAATGTGTGCTTTGTGGCAACATTTTGGGGAAGAACCACATAAGGGTGTGATGGTCAGGTGTTCACACACTTCAGGCCATATAGTGTATCTTGTTACTCTGATCTCAGCTCTGTCAGTTATTAACAAACCGACATATTTAATATTTAACTTTTGTTGTGACATTACCGTATTTACTGTATATTCCACTCCTGTTCCAAATTTAGGCAGAAACATTTTTTGACTGTCTTAAAGCCTTTTATCATGACCCATTGCATCATTTTTTGTTTGATTCAACCACTAATAGCTAAGAGTACAGTGGAATTTGTAGAAATACTCTGAACAAAAATGAAGCAGGCTAAACTGTCCACAAGGGACTTTGACTGAAAGGTGGTCACATGACTCACATACAGCACAGTACAAGCATGGAGTAGTAGAGTGTATGCTAATGTAGTACACAAATACAAGCCATTTTGACACCACACCCACAAGCTGCAGTTTTATGCCTTATTTTGGCATTTGCATTATGAGCATGGAAATTGGCATAATTTCCTACTTTGTGCTTTTTTTGTAACAGACACAATAAAGAAAGGCTTTTTTGTTCATCTATAAAAACAACATGTAAGATTTTAACCTGAGAACCACTTTTTCTTTCACATTCACCAAACTGGCCTTCAGGGTCCACAAAAAGAAACCCATCATATGATTGTGAGTAATCATCCTAACAGCTGTGTGTTCATATTCTCATCGTTGTTCATTCATTTAGATTAAGGCTTTGAACTTTCTTGGAGATGAATAGTGAATAGCCTTTCTGAATAGTGCAGCAGAAATGTGATATCAAACTATTCACAATTCACCAGACTTGAATATTGGAGTCCATGTCTGAGTAACCATTATAAAGTGTGAACCTGCAGTAGATAACCAGTCTAGTCTAACCCTCATTAGGACAGAAGCCCCGAGCGCAGCCACATGCAAAGGCAGAGAAAGCAGGTGAAGATTCGCTGGTTTCTGCTGAACAGACATGCACAGCGCTGCCCAGAGCTTCACACCAGTCATACCGAGCAGCCGCATATAAAACACCAGCGCAGAGTCCAGTCAGTACGGGTAAAAAGAGTACCCACCCCACGGTGGGGTGTCGTGGCTACAGTTGCATTGTGGGTAAGACGGAAGAGGAGGCATGAAGGATTGTCTGTGACTAACCCCCTTCTGATCCTGCTGTGCATCCTTCTCATCCCGCAGACGCTTGTTCATGTCCCTGAGAAAGACACGTGATGAAGCGAATATTTAAAGAAATTCTGAAACGCTGTAAATAAAAATCATTTATAAACTGTGTGTCTGGTCTGTAATAGTGTAACACTTTCCCTCTCTCTTTAGTGTACTATGTGTTTTAGAAGTATTGCTAAACCCTGATCTACAATAACACCCTGAACATCTGTAATACAAAATATTTTTTCGTGTTTTGTACTTGATGGTAAAAACACTGTATATTTTGTATCAAGAAACTACTGTGTTCTACAATTTTGCATTTTCAGATTTATTTATTTATTTATTTTTGCTTATCTCTATCAAAGACAGCTCATAAACAGTTCTTCCAAATGCTTGCGCTTGTTAAAGAGGAAATGGAAGAGTAGCGTCGACTGACTTGCTTCTATCTAGCATGCTGCAAAATTTGTGATTGTTGTTACTATATGCATTTACAACATTTTACATGATCAATAAAGTCCTTTATCATTCATTATAATCTTCATTAGCTACCATGCTGTGTGATCTTTTATATATGATAAGTCAACACGGGAGAAAAATATACAGCAGGTTACCATTTAACAGAAACCAAAGAGACAGTATAAATGATGATAACATTAATATGAGATATAAAATTAGACCCATTAGACCCACCAGTCGCACTACTGATCCCTTATCCACTTTAAAAATATATTTTGGTACTTTAAAAATAAAAAAAACCCTTTGTTTTACATTTTGGATTGTAGTTTATTTTGCTGCATCTGTATCAAAATACATTCTGACTTCCTCGTAACTGCTTTTTCCAGTTTGACAGTATGTTTGTGTGTGCACTGTGCCACACTCCCTGCCTTATCTTCAATCTGATATCTGTCAAGAGCAAACAAACCTGAAATGGACAATGACCTGGAGACACGCCCGGAGAAAGATTCAAGTAAGGCTACACTTGCATGCAGTCTTACCTGAGCAGATCCAGCTGCCTCATCAGGCTCTCTCTCTCTTTCTGCATGTTTCTGGAGACCTTCAGCACTTGCCTAGGCATAAACAAAACCACACACACAGTTATAACTACTGTGATAAGGGCGATGCTCGTGTTTAAATCAAGGAACGAGTACGAGGAAAATAGAAACATGAAAAAAATAAAAGAAATCATTAAATCAAAGGAAAAGTGTGGGTCTACATGGGTACACTACAGTAATTCTCAGTCAGTAGTTTCATTAATCATACATCAGTGGTTTTTAGAGCCAGTGTTGTTATAAAGTTGTCTTACATTTGGATACATCAGTTTGGAATAGTTTAACGTTTTAAATATTATCAGTTTCTTCCAGTGCAATAGCACTGCTTTTGCAACTCCCTTTGCAATATATACAGTCAGGTCCATAAATATTGGGACAGTGACACAGTTTTGGTAATTTTGCCTCTGTACACCACCACAGTGGATTTGAAATGAAGCAGTCAAGATGTGACTGAAGCGTAGACTTTCAGCTTTAATTCAAGGGGTTTAACAAAAATATTGCATTAACCGTTTAGGAATTACAGCCATTTTTTACAGAGTTCC